AAACTAATGAGCTTTTTAGCAATTATCCATTACAAGCTAACTTAAGATACAAGATAACTTAAACAATTGAATCCTTAACACAAGACCCAATTCGACAACTACATACTATAGCACAATTAATTCAGTTACAGCATGTAGGTCTTCGACAACAACATGTGAAAAAAACTTCGACGACATGATTAACTAGAGTTCAACCCAATATCTCACAAATCTCCACCTTGGATCTAACTCTATAACATCATGAAACACACTAGTTTTCTTAATGCAGCTTTATTGACTGCATATAATGGAAAAACTTGCAACTGAGCAATGTCTTGGTGATTATATTAACAACATTATGATTTGTCGAAACCTTCAGCACTTGGACTTCTTCATGCTTGATTAACCCTCTGACAAAATGCAGCCACACATCAATGTGTTTGGTTCACTTAAGATAGGTTGAATTCTTCGACAGGTGTATTACACTTTGACTATCACATTTAACAGTGATAACTGGACCTTGAAGTTTCAACTTCTTTGTAAAAATTTCAAGCCACAATGCTTCCTTCACACCTTTATTTAGGGCGATATATTTCTCTTTAGCGGTTGATAAGGCAACAAACTTCTAAAGTGTTACTTTCCAACTGATTGTTGTGCCAAATATAGTGAACACATATCCAGAAATAGATTTTCTAGAATCCATACAACCTGCATAATTAGAGTCGACATATCCTTTGATTGGGGCTTTACTATCTTCAACCAAGGCTCCACCATAAATTAGGACTCTATTCAGAGACCCATTTATGTACCTTAGAATCCACCTCAATACTTTCCAGTGAGCCTTTCCAGGATTCGTCATGTACCTGCTTACAAGACTTACTGCATATGCTATGTCAGGTCTAGTACATACCATATCATACATCAAAGAACCCACTATATTAGCATATGGAATGCTATTCATATAAGCTCTTTCGACATCAGTATCGGGACACGATCTATACTCAACTTGAATTGAAGGCTTGTTGGAGTCACAACAGACTTTGAATTCGACATACCATATTTTTAGAGAATCTTCTATAGGTATGCCTCTTAAGATAAGCATAATTTCGAATGGTTTCTATCTCTTCAGATGTCAATCCCAAGAATCCTGGACGCAGCTCTCAGATCCTTCATTTCAAACTTCTTATCGAGTTTAGCCTTCACCGTCATTACATCTTCGACATTGTTTCTTGCTATTAGAATATCATCCACATAAAGCAACAAAATAATAAATGAATTACCCAGTCAAAATCTGAAGTAAACACAATGGTTGAACTAACTTCTAATAAAACTTATGTGTGCCATGAACTTGTCGAATCTCCTATTCCACTGTCGAGGATATTGTTTCAACCCATATAAAGATCTCTTCAACTTGCACACATAATCTTCTTTCCCCTTTTCGACATACCCTTCAGGTTGCCTTATCAGGATTGTTTCATCTAGAACACCATACAAGAACATAATCTTCACACCCATCTATTTTAGTTCAAGGTCTAACTGTGCCACCATGGCAAGAAACATTTGAATGGATCTGTGCTTCACAATATGAGGGAACACATCATTGAAGTCGACACCTTTTTTTTAAGTGAACCCCGTAGCGACCAATCTTGTCTTGTATCTCTTTGATGCAACTCCTTCGATTCCTTCATTAACTTTGAAAATCCATTCACAAATGACTAACCTAGCTCTAGTAAGTTTCTTGATCAGTTCTCAAGTGTTGTTATCATGAAGACATTTCATCTCATCATCCATGGCCTTAATCCATTCAATTTTATTTCGACTCCTCATAATTTCCTTATAATCTCTAGGTTCTTTGTTAATAACCTCACTTGTAGACATTAAGGCATAAGCTATAAGATCTGCATATCCAAGTCTCTGAGGTGCCTTGACGACTCTCCTTTATCTGTATCTTGCTAGCAGATACCATTATCAATCTCCTCATCTTCGACAACAACTTCTACTTCTTTTTCGACTTTATCTGGGATACACAATTCAACATTAACATGCTCCACCTTAACATGAATCTCTCCCTGTTCCAGCTCTTCGTCAGCATCATCAGTTTTCTTGAAGGCCATATCAACTTCATTGAAAACTATATCTCAATTAGTGATACACCTCCTGTAACCTGACTCTAGGCACCATAGCCTATAAGCTTTGACTCTTCTAGGGTATCCCATGAACATGCATTTCAGAGCTCTAGGTTCGACCTTGTCTTGCCTAATGTGAGCATATGCCACACAACCAAATACTCTCAGTCTGTCAAAACTAGGTGGATGTCCTGACCAAAGTTCTTCAGGTGTCTTCGTATCTAACGCAGTCAAAAGACATCTGTTTATTAGATATGTTGTTGTCGAAACAGCCTCAGTCCAAAACACCTTGTTTAGCCCAACATTAGTCAACATGCATATGAATATTTCTAAAATAGTTCGATTAAACCTTTCTACCAAACCATTTAGTTATGAAGTACCCGCAGTAGTTTTGTGCCTTGCAATACTTGAGGCAACACAAAAGCTGTCGAACGTCTCATTGCAAAATTCAAGGCCATTGTGGATTCTCAAACTCTTGACCTTTCTGCTAGTCTGATTTTTGACCAAAGTCTTCCAACCTTTGAAATTCTTAAAAGTTTCATCCTTAGTCTTCTGGATGAATACCCATAACTTTCTGGAATAATCATCGACTATCGATAGAAAATACCTTGCTCCTGAATGTGATTGACACCTTACAAGCCCAAAATGATCAACATGGATGTAATCAAGGGATCCATGAGTCCTTTGTTTACCTTTGTTGAACTTCACTCTGCAAGATTTTCCAAGTACACAGGGTTCACAAAATTTCAGCTTTTCGACTTTGTCTCCTCCAAGCAGATTTTGTTTCTCCAATTCAACCAGACCCCTTTCATTGACATGACCCAATCTCATGTGCCAAATTTCTGTCTTCAACAAAGGTTTTGTGGATGCAACATATGTCGAACCACTTACAACTTTAGCCTCAAGGGTATACAAGCCTTGTTTCTTCAAGCCTCTCAAGACCTCCTACAACCCATTCATGACTCTTAAGTTACTTTTCTCTCCTTGAAAAACATATCCCTTCTTGTAGAATTCACCAAGAGAAATCAAATTTCTTTTCAAATCAGGTACATACCTGACTTCAGTCACTAACCTTATTGACTCATCATGAAGCTTTAATCTTATAGATCTAATACCAGTAATTCTGCAAGCGTTGTTGTTTCCCATCATCACTGATCCACCATCTTAGTCACATAGCTCCTCGAATAATTATCTATTTGGAGTCATGTGCCAAGTAGAACCTGAATCCATAATTTACTCCTTTCTTGAGTCACCGCTTGAAACCACAAGAACATCAGATGATTCAAATTCATCTTGAACAATGGTTGCGTTGCCATTACCCTTACCTCTATGATCTTTCAAGCATTCATGACACACCTTTATTATGTGACCCTCCTTCTTACAGTGATAACATCGAATTCCTGATGCTTTGTCACTATAAGACTTCTGTTGAATTTTACCTTTCTTCTTGTCGAACTTACCATCCTTCAGCAAGAATTTTCGCTTAATAGGCAAACCTTCACCCACCGTCAAAGGTTTATACTCCTTTTGTTTGTTCAAATCCTTAGAATACAAGGCTGATTGAACTTCTTCAAAGCTCAGTGACTCTCTTCCATACATGAGAGTTTCTTTGAAGTGAGCATGTGTTTAGTGAAAAGTGCACAATAACAACAGTGTTTGATCTTCATCATCGATCTTCACATGAATATTTTCAAGATCAAGAATCAGCTTGCTGAACATATTCAAATGCTCAACCAACACTTTATCTTCACTCATCTTGAATGAATATAAATCTTGCTTCAGGTAGAGTCGATTCACCAGAGATTTGGTCATGTACAAACTTTCAAGTTTCAACCATAACCCCGACGTCGTAGTCTCCTTTGATACATGTCGAAGAACCTTATCACCAAGTCTCATAGCGCAATTTTGTTAACGCAACGTCCATGGTTGCCTTTCCCTTCAATGTTTCCAAACACCCTTGCTGAATCAGTAGGACTTTCATCTTCAAGCACCATAGACCGAAATCGTTCACTCTGGTGAACTTTTCAATCTCATACTTTGTTGAAGACATCTTTCTCCATACTCACCGTACCAATTTGTTGTGAATTAGGATGCCCTTTAAACAAAGTATAAACGGTTTCTTTATGATCAAGAAACACACAAGGGTTAAGGTTAAGGAAAAACAAGGAGAACAACAAAGATTGAGTATAACTGCTATTCATTACTTTCTCTAAAAAACAGATTACAAGTATTCAAGAATAACAAACTACCTTCTCACCCTAATTAGGATTTGCCACACCACACTTATGATGAGAGACTAGTGAGCTATTTATAATAAAACCTAACATATACTAAACTAATTAGCTTTTTAACAACTACACATTACAAACTAACTTAGAATACAAGCTAACTTAAACAATTTGATCCTTAACACAAGACTCAATCGACAACTACATACTAGAACACAATTCGACTACAGCATGTAGGTCTTCGACAACATCATGTGGGAAAAACTTCGACGTCATGTTTAACTAGAATTCAATCCAATATCTGACACTTTTATTTTATTTTTATGATTTAAAAATAATTGCAAGAAAATATAAATATTATAAAATAAATTTTATGAAAATAATTAAGTATTTGTTAACTTAATATATATTTTATGTTATTTTTTAAAAAGGATTATTTTAATTTGTTATTAATGATATTGTAAAAAACTTATGTGATTTTCTTATTGTAAGAGAATAATTGTAGGAAAGAATAATGGTAAACGGTCCTTTTTTATTTAATTTTAAAAGACCACTATAGTCGTTCTAAATAATACTAATAGATGAGTTGCAGTTTATCTTAACCCATAGTTATTATTACTCTCTCTTCTGCATTTGTGGTTGACTTTAGTGAAAGCCTTTCAAAACAATGTCTTCGTCTTCCTCCACCAGTCACCCATGGATCTACGACGTGTTCATCAACTTCAGAGGAGAAGATACTCGCGACAGCATCGTTTCTCATCTCTATGCTGCACTCTCAAATGCAGGAATCAACACTTTTATTGACAACAAGAATCTTTCAAAGGGAAAGGAAGTTGGACCAGAACTAAAGAGGGCAATAGAAGGCTCTCAGATTTCTATTGTTGTTTTATCAGTCAACTATGCAAATTCTAGCTGGTGTCTTGGCGAGCTGCTACATATCATGGAATGCCGCAAAACTTATGGCCAGTTCGTTTTACCAGTATTTTACGGTGTTGAACCATCGGCTGTCCGTAGACAGAGTGGTTTACTTAGAGAAGCCTTGAAAGCTAGTGCAAGAAGTGTTGAACTTTCTAATCCAAAAGGAAAGAAAGAAGATCTCTTCTACAAGTGGAGGACCGCACTCACTGAAGTTGCGAATCTATCTGGCTGGGATTCCCGAAGTTTCACGTAATAATAAACAAACACTTGTTTCAAATTATAATCAAAGTATTTCATGTTCATTCTTTGTCATTATAACTCTTATTATTGTTATTACTACAACAGGGAAGCTAAACTAGTGAAGAAAATTGTTGATGACGTTTTGACAAAACTAGATGTCTCATTATTGCCTATTACTGAATTTCCTATTGGATTGGATTCCCGGGTGCAAAAATTGACCCAGATTATTGATGAGAAATCAAACAAAGTCTGCATGATGGGGATATGGGGAATGGGTGGATCGGGCAAAACAACCACAGCCAAAGCTATCTACAACAGAATCCATCGTAAATTTGAGGGTAGAACAAGTTTCATTCAAAGTATACGAGAGACTTGTGAAAATGATAGTCAAAGGATTGTTCATTTACAACAACAACTTCTTTCGGATCTCAAAATAAACCAGAATATTCATAGCATTGCTTCGGGGATAACTAAGATCGAGGCAGGACTTCGGGGCCAAAAGGCTTTTGTCGTACTCGATGATGTGACCAAGCCGGAGCAATTAACAGCTTTGTGTGGAAATCCTAAGTGGTTTTGTTCAGGAAGTGTTTTGATTGTTACAACTAGAAATGTACGCCTTCTCAAATCACTCAGTGCTGACCATGTCTTCACAATGACGGAAATGGACGAAAACCAGTCGCTTGAACTTTTTAGTTGGCATACTTTTCGTCAACCAAGTCCTAGAGAAGATTTTATTGAACTCTCTAAAAATGTGGTTGCTTACTGTGGAGGATTACCACTTGCTCTAGAAGTTCTTGGATCTCACTTATTTGAGAGGACGGAACCGGAATGGACAGATACACTATCAATATTAGAGAAAATTCCCAACAATGAAGTGCTGCAGAAATTGAGAATCAGCTACGATGGTTTAGAAGATTATAAGAAAAAAGATATATTTCTTGACATATGTTGTTTTTTCATTGGAAAGAACAGAGTTGATGTTACAGAGATACTTAATGGCTGTGGACTTAATGCTGATATTGGAATAGCTATTCTCATAGAGCGCAGCCTCATCAAAGTTGGAAAGAATAACAAGCTTCAAATGCATGATTTGCTACGAGACATGGGAAGAGTGATTGTTGGCGAAGGTTCAGAAAAAGAGCCTGCAAAGCATAGTCGATTGTGGTTTCATAAGGACGTGCTGGATGTTTTATCAAAAAATACTGTAAGAACTTTTGAACACCCTCTATAATCTTATCATTGTTTCTAGCCTATAATAAGCTGAGAAAATAATATTTTACACTGTCACATAGACAATGTTTTACACTAACACTGTGGACAATGACATGTGTGAGTATTGTCTGACACTGACATGTGTCAGATACGAAACACAGTCTCAATATAAAGTGTTTGTATTACTTAGCTTTTTTACTTCACATGCAGGGAACAGAAACTGTTGAGGGATTGATTTTGAAGTTGCATAGAAATGACAGAACTCGCTTCAGTACTAATGCTTTTCAGGAGATGAAAAAACTGAGGCTTTTAAAACTTGAAGGTGTTAACCTCAAAGGACATTATGGATTAATTTCCAAAGAATTGAGATGGGTTGATTGGCAACTATCTTCCTTCAAATTTATACCCAATGACTTTAATCTGGAAAATCTAGTTGTTTTGAAATTAAAATATAGCAATGTTGAACAAGTTTGGCAGAAGACCAAGGTATATTAATATTTTCTTTCAAAATTCAAAGGTTGATGACAATAAGATTTTTTGCCACCTTTTATTTTCCCATTTTCTTCTCTTATTTTTCTTTCTTTTACACAAATATTTTCTTGTAGTTGTTGGAGAAGCTAAAAGTTCTGAATCTCAGTCATTCCAAGTACTTGAAACGAACCCCCGACTTTTCAAATTTACAGAATTTAGAAAAGCTCATTATGAAGGATTGTGAAAATTTGTCTGAGGTACACCCGTCCATTGGGGATCTCAAGAATCTTCTTTTGATAAATTTGAAGGACTGTACAAGTCTTTCCAATCTCCCAAGAGAGATCTATCAGTTGATAACAGTGAAAACTCTCATTCTTTCTGGTTGTTTAAAGATTGAAATATTGGAAGAAGATATAATGCAAATGGAATCCTTGACAACTCTAATTGCAACAAATTCTGGTGTCAAAGAAGTGCCCTTTTCAATATTACGATTAAATAGCATTGGATACATATCACTATGTGAATATGAAGGATTACGGCATGATGTTTTTCCTTCTCTCATTTGGTCTTGGATTTCACCAACCAAAAATTTCATACCCCGTGTTTCTCCATTTGGAGGCAACTCATTGTCTCATGTTTCGTTGAATATAGAGAGTAATTATATGGACTATCATTCACCAGTGCTTACCATCCTTTCAAACCTTAGATGTGTTTGGGTTCAATGTCACTCGGAAATTCATTTAACTCAAGAACTTCGAAAGTTTGTCGACGCTCTACATGATGTGAATTTTACCAAGTTTGAAACAACGTCACATGGACCGGACACCTCAAGTTATTCCTTGAGATCACTTGTGATTGGAATGGGAAGTAACGAAATAATCATGGATACTCTTCAGATGAGCCTATCACAGGTCTGTACTCTATCTTTTCACCTTTCCCAATAATTATTACTAATTAACAGAACATAGAATGATTAAATAATATTATTGTTCATGTGAATACTGAGATTTAGCATATGTGGTTTATCAGGAATCCATAACAGTAAGCTAAATGTTAATGTAATACAGGGATTGGCAGCCAGTTGTATTGATTCTTTTCTTCCAGGCGACAATTCTCCTTTTTGGTTAGCCAATACATGTGAAGGATCTTCAGTAATTTTCCAAGTGCCTGAGGATAATCATTGCGGCATGACGGGAATAACTTTATGCGTACTTTATTCATCAACGTCTGGAAACTTGATAACAGAATGTCTCACCAGTATCTTAATCATTAATTACACAAAATTTACTATTCAGATTTACAATCGAGACACAGTAATGTCATTTAACGATGAAGATTGGCAAGGCGTGGTATCAAATTTGGATGTTGGTGATAAGGTGGAGATTTTTATAGTTATTGGACACGGATTGACTGTCAAAGAGACGGCTGTGTATCTAGTATATCGTCAACCAACTGCAATGGAAAGCATTCCAATTCCTACAGTGGAGGTGCAGACACCACCTGATGTGAATACGGAGCCATTACCTAAAAAAAACAGAAAAAAGTTTAGAAGGTTTGTAATGAGAGTGGGAAAATGTTTATGTATGAACCAAAATTGAGATCGAACCATTTTTGGTATGGCACATGGTTTTAAATTTCGGTTGTGAATGTTGCATTTGCGGTCAATGCAGTCACTGCGTGTTTGCAATGTAAAATATATAAAATTCTTGTAACTATTTATGTTTTTTGTATTTATAATTGTGTATTGGTTTTAATTCACTTTTAGACTATTGTATTGTATTTATGTATAATTTTAATTGAACTCTAATGAAACAAATAATATTCTAAGTTTAAACAAACATAAACTCCAAAGTAATTTTTCAAGTACATAATACAAGTTACAATTTATTTAAAATAAAAAGGAGTACAGACACAAATATATTAATGTTCTATATTGCATTCTTGGCGGTAAAAAACAACATCATTTTGTCACATAGTGAAGTCTTCACTGTAAAAAAAGAAAAATGATAGAAACTCCTGATTAATACCTTTAAATTGTATATAATATTAAGACTTTTCACACATACAATTAATTAAAGTAAATTCAAATGTTTGAAAATATAACTTATGTGAATCTTGCTACTACATTACTTACAACCTCTCCAAGCCTTTTTCTCAAAGTCTTCAAAGAACTTTTATTAGCTCTTTGTTGTTTCATGTTGTCGAACTTCGAAAAATGAGTGCATGACATCGCAAAAAGCAATTGCACGCTTGCGGGATAGACTTAACAAAATCGCCTCTGATCTTTATTTATTTTCATAGAGAGAAAGAGAAAATATCGAACGAAACCCCTAAAAGAAAGGCAAGGATATGCTCATCACAACCAATATAAAAGTTTGTGAGTTGGTTACGTAAGAGGAAGGTGTTAACATCATTCACGTCCGTTGTACTCAATGAGAACCGTGTTAGTGTTAGTTCAAAAATGTTAGGCTTCTCAAGTTATTAAAGGGAAAAGAAAAAGTTAATTATTGGGGTACAAAGAAGAGGGACCTAAAAATGTTTTTATTATTAGGGGGTCTGAAAAGATTTTGCAATCCTACTCCTACGTATCTCCAGGTGCAATAGAAAATTCAAGGCTACGTACTTCTAGGTATAAAATGTTTGTTTGTTGGGCGATTTTAGTGAAAAAAACTCTTCCATATGGTATGAAGAAAGTCATTTCTTTCCTATAAATGATTATCATTTCCTTTAAGAAATTAAAAATGGTAAGAGAAAGATTAATTATGATGTTCTTGGTAAGTATTAACAATAGATGCTTGTCATTTCTGGTAAGTATTTCCAGTTTTTTCTCTCTTGGACAGATATTTGACACTATAAGCTGATACAAAACCTTTTCAATTGGTCGCAGGACTGCTGAGATTATCATTGGTTGCATAAGCAAAGGTGGTCTTTAAAGACATTGTTGAATATATAATGTTCAACACAACACTTTCCTCTTTACATTTTATTGTCTGAGTAATAAGTGACTGAGTAATTGTGACAGGAAAGTCATTGACATAAGACTGGATTGACTCAACATCATGACCAGATGGTCCAACAAAGACATTTAATGATAGGAAGTTTTTCCTACCAAGACTATGAAACTAGGGTTTCTACAATAAATGGGAAAAAACACTAAAATGACAAATAAAATAAAAGAGATAAAACTAAAAGATAATAAAAGATAACTTTTGATTTCATTGATTGATTCCTAAAGTGTCTCAAAGACAATACATATATAATGTTCCTAATGGATAAATAGTTAAGAGCCCAATTACAACAATAGCCCAATAACAATACTAATAACTAATAATATAAATTCTAAATTATATTTTACCCTTCTATCATTGTCGTCGGGTTCACTTGAACCTTGTCCTCAAGGTTCTAAAATAACCTCAAAATAGAAACAATTTTACCTTAATGATATACCCCATCTTTGAATCCTCCTCCCAAGGCAGCCACCATTGTGTGCGATGCAAATATGACAATCAATACATCATTAAACCATCCTGCATGTTCATGTTTTACTTGACAATATTCTTTAAAATATTGTGGTATAGACACGCTGAGGAAGAAAGAGAAGCCTAACACAAATTTGGTTCTGAAACTGTTGAAGTTGCATAATTGGAGAAAACCAAGACCAGCAGAAGACACGTAACCGAAGAATACACAGTATAATGCTGCTTCAGGTGTCAACGAATTAAGCATGTTCATATCAGAAGAAAATTTCCACTGTGAATGTTCCTTTGGAATGGTAGCAGCTAAGTCAGCCAAATTCTGAGCAGAAGAATCAGCGTTTAGACATTTGTTAACTTCAATTGTTGAACTCTCACTCCTGCTTAAACTAGGAATAACTTCAGATTTTGAATGTTGCTCCATGTCTCTTTGCTTGTATGATTGTTTCTCCATTTCAATCTTCATTTGATTATAGCGATTTTTGTAAGAGACGGAACATAATGCAGCTTCAGCCTCAAGCCATAGATTTTTATACAATAGAGTCTGAGATTTTGTTGCTTCAGCATCATCATCATCATCAAAATTCTCACTAAGAATATTCTTTATAGTCTTAGTCATGTTCTCTTCCTTCGTCATTTCTGTCATTGCTGCACCACTGCTTGGGGAAATGAAGCCTAAACGCATCCAATGTGGCTTCTCAGATCCAAAACAGAGATCAGTCTTTTGAGCAAGTTGAATTTCATGCTCATCTGGTCCTATCTTGGTTAATTGGACCCCCTGTCGAAGTTCACATGTTTCTACAACACATCTAGAAGTTTCTGGCTGACGGAGAAGATACCAGAAATTTCGCCGAAGAAGACGCTGGAAGTGTCGTAAGAGTCAACAACGTCACCGGAAATATCGTTGATCGACCAACGTCTGGTGGCTTTGGAGAAGGTCGCAGATCTGATGGTTCCGATAATGTCGGAAAACTCGTCGGAAAACTCGTCGGAGAAGACACCAGAAGTTTCGTCGGAGATGCTCTTTGAGTTATTATCGAAGTTGATCTCAGTGAATCAAATATTGTTTCGATTCCTTCTTTTTCTGTTTTTTCTTCAGCAATATGTTTAATTTTTGGTTGTTCTGGTTGTCTTCCATACATATCGGAAGATTTTTCCTTGTAAGAAAGTTGTGATGCTTTGAAAGAGTTACCAAAATTTTGAATCAGTTCCTTCAACTCTTCTCTATATTCATTTTCGATTTTCTGAGTTTCCATCAAATCCTGTTTTAGAGTTTCTAGTTGTGAATAAAAATCTTGAGATTGAGGTTGGTAGCTATGGTAACTTGAATGTTCATGGAATGTGAAAGATGATTGTTGAGGCGAAGAAGAAATTATGTTGTTGTTGTTGCGAATAGTTTTTATTAGATCAAAACCTTTGTCTTTCAAATCATCGAAATCAACAAATTTTTCATTGCTTACGAACAAAAGATTTTCATATAAGATTGTTAAAGACATTTTTGAAGAAAAGAAAATAATTTAAAACTAGGTTTGAATACACAAATTGTTGAAAATGAGATGTTGAAACAAGGAATAATGTTTAAATAAAGTGGATAAAAGGAAGTGAATTAATCAGAGAAGCTCAAACGCCTTGAAAATCTAAAAGATACATTAGATTTTGGAATATGGTTGATCATTGTTATTCTAGTGGATATGATTTCAATGTGCATCATGATTTATTTTGTTTAGAAGTAGAAATCACATATTACCTCGGTTTTTCAAAAACTCTGAGGGGAAAAACAACTCAGGAAACTATTTTATTTATTATAACTTTTTGTAAACTAAATGATATATCTCGTCGGTTTCCTTAATAACCAAAGTATAAGATACGTAACATTTTACTATAAAAACACTTGTTAGACACATTTTACTCTAATCCTAACTTAAAATATAGCCGATCCAAACTCGTTAGAAGTAGAAATCACATCATTCTTTTGGGATCCATCTCACAAAATGGTGTTGATATTGATGTTGTTGTTGTTGTTGTTGTAGTATTTAGAAGCTTGTAAAAGTTCTCTATAATGGATTGCAAGTACAGAAAAATATTTCTTTAATAAAAGTTGGATGCATTTAATGGTTGGACCAAATAACTCTTTAGAAATTGGATGCGTGCAATATTTTAACCAGATAACTTCTTACACTAAAGTTATTGTTTTGTTATATTATTAATTTTCAATATTCTTTGTAAACAATATAATAAAAAAAAACATTTTCACTTTGACTTTTATAGGAATCGAGGAGATAACTTCGCGTTCTTAAACAATCTTTGTTATGCATTTCATGATTATTAACGCTAAAAAACTATCTACGTGATACCTAAAATTTTTTTATTATAAAAGCTTTATGATATGATATTTAAAACCTTTTTATTGTTTTATATCATAAGCAAATAATTGTTAGGTGAAGTATTGACCTTGTCTAAATATTAAGGAATCGAAGATCCAATACATGATCTTCAAAAATAAATTAATTTTTATTTTAATATTTTTTTATTATATTGACCATTTATAATTTAAAAAATTAGATAAAACTTATTTTCTTAAATATATGATAAAAATATTTCTTTATGTGATTGATTCATACATTGTTTTAAGTATATTTATTTTTATTTATCTTAATTGCGCAACAACAAAAAAGTAATACATTGTTTGGATTCATACCGGGGCGGTCACATGGGTAGGAAAAGTTTTCATCTATAACATATATAAAGACAATACTTGATTTTTGGTGTAATTTTTTTTTATACCAATTTTACCCTTATTTTAAAATATATAACTTACACAATAACTTTCATTAAACTACTACTGTCATCTTTCATATAACTCTCTACTAATAACTTCCTACATAACTTCCATGTAAAATTAATATTAAATAAAAATATATCATTTATATTTATATTTATATGTGTGCAATAAAAAAGCAGACAGACGGGCACGCGAGTGCCCGTCTAAACGATAGTGTATATTGGAAAAACATGAGACAGTGTTCTCATATCATTCTGCCACCTTGGTATTCAATAAATTTGCTTAGTCTCGATTAATAACATTGATATTAAACCGATTTAGTATTACTTTTTTAAATGAAAATTATTGAAAGACAAAGACTAACTAATGAACTAGCTAGATTGATTATTAGTTTGGTTTCCAATTCAGTTCAATTTTTACAACTATGCTTTAATTATCATGGATATGTTGCTCTAATTAAAAAAGACTTATTGTTTATAATTTTCTAGAATATTAGCTTAAAAATTAAGAATTTAACAATAATCATCAAAAAAATGTTATGAATATTAAAACTAAGCAAAGTACTAAAAGACCATGATTAAAGTTAAAAAATCTTCGTTTTATTAGAAAAAACACACTGCCTTTCAAATTATTCATTTGATATAATGATTGTACCTTACATAATTAAATTTATCATTTATATTTATAAAAAAAAACATATAAATAATTTATATTTCGATTAAAATTAATAAATCCATGGACCCTATAATTTCATAATGAAAAAGTTTTTAAAAAATCAACCTTTTATCAATTTGTCATGATTTTTTATAGGGTCGTCCTTTCATTGAACGAACTTATGAAGGTGAACTCGACCATGAAGGAGCTCGGTCAACCATTGGCCGACTCTTTGAAAGTTTTTTTTTATTTTTGTTTTTATTGTTTTAAATATAAATATAAAACATTTATTATAATTTTATATATTTAATTGTTTTTTAAATATTAAATTTTTTTCATGATTTAAAATATTAATAAATGAATAATTTAATTAATTTTATAATATTACTAAATATTTTTCATAACATTTAATTCATTATCTAATTAATTAAAATAATTTGCTTATTAAATAAAATCATAAATAAAAGCAATTTTATTAATACCAATAAATGAAAAAGATACCTTATTTTTGTCTACGTAAAAGACCGTCAGTTCCACACATTTTATTATTTTCACACGTTTCCCCTTGCCTAACTCTTCGGGTTGCCGTTTTGTAGGTGATGAGGTAGAGTCGGAAGACAACTCTTCATCTTCACATACATTTTTAGGTTGATGTGATGTATCGACCATGTCTACATCAGTAACAGAAAAATCTAGTCATTCCATGAGTTGATCGTCAGTTAGGAGATAGTTGGGGACTCATTGGGATAGTTGGTTAAAAGTGGTTGGAGGGCTTTGTTGGAGGAGAGGTTAATAAACATCGTCAGTGTGACCGGTAGAAGCCGGTTGAGACAATGAAGGGTTAAATGTTTGATGTTGTGATTGGGAATAAAAACCATTGCAAGTATGCAGTACTATGAACATAGTTACCGTTAACCATGTTACCTTGTGGGGTCAATTTTATTTTCTTTTTATGTTTTTCCACTCGTTGTTCTCTTTTCTATTTATATTAAGCCAATGATCTCCCCATGTATTGGGCATTTTAGTTTCATGTTGTTCGCGTAGACATCTAGGCTGGGAAGAAATATCTTGTTGAAACCCAAACTGCAATTTGACCTTATCAGCTTGATGCATTTCAACAATATGAGAACTGATAATTGAAGTGGTCACACTCCAAATCTGACTATCTGCAAGGACGCATTCTGGGTAGTTCAGGTAGGACCTCCAAATAAACTGTTACAGAAAATATAATAGTTAGAGTTTAAATATAGATGTTAGTATATATTTAGAGAATGTAGCGATAACAAACTTACATTGTTAGTCCTCAATCTATCTAGTGCAAATCTAAATCTTCGGATGTAGTTCCGAGGATTATTTTGGTAAGCCATGCCTCTTCGAACAATTAGTGGTATATGCCAATATGTCCAAACACTTAGTAGGAGAACACATTCTCCAATACTTTTTACCCCTAACCTACATGCTTTACACATATGTCTATATAATGTAGCTAAACAAGCAGAACCCCAACTATATCTATTGCATTTATATAAATCTCCTACCAGGGATATCCAAGAAGAATGTAAATAGTTATGGCTCTTGTATGACATCAATACTTTAGCTATGAGTAATAATATATAAATTTTTGCATGGAGAAGGTTCTCCTCATCAGATGACGATTCGTTTTGTCGTAGTTGTGCGAATATAGTTTGTAGCCAAACAATTTTAACACATGCTTTATGTTTATCGGATGTCGAAAGTTTGATACCTAAATTTTTCATATATACATCACAGCCTATCTAAGTAGGATCATTCACACCCTTAACATTTACACGGAGACCTAATAACATACTTACATCCTCCCATGTGATGGTATATTCACATGTTGGAAGATGGAAAATATGTGTTTCTGGTCTCCACCTCTCCACCATAGCAAGTACGAGCTTTGAATCAACATTGATAATAGTTATTTCTGCAACTTTTGCAAAATCTGCTCGTTCCAAATACGGTTTGATTGCGTCACTTGGTGTATCGATAACATGAGAATGTAGTCTAAATCTCTTGTTGTCGGACTGTTTCAAATACTGGAAAATAAAAACAACGTAATGATGTAATATTAAACACAAGTATGAAGAAAAAAACTTACATAGGCGGCAACATTGATCGGTGTTCTTTGATGGTTTTCTCCCATCAACAACATTGCAATTTAGAATATTTTATAACTGATGAAACAATGAAAGTGTTGAAGTATTGAATTAGCTTGTTGTTTTTGCAATGCATATGAATAAAATTTGTTGCTGTTTATAAGAAAAAGATATGAGTAAAATTTGTGAGCTATGCAATTATCCGTTGAAAAAATAGATGAGTCAAAATTATTGACTCTGCATGATTCCCCCACATGATTCCTCTACATCCTTATAGATTGCATGAAAGAATTCTAGCTAGAAAAGACTACACACTGCACCCTAATACTACACACTGCATCTTATGCAACTCGGCCAATGGAATGACATGCAGTCGCATCTTCAAGACGACAATCCAAGAGTTAGGCAGGGGGAAAATGCGTGAAAAAGAATAAAATATGTGGAACTGACGGTCATTTACGTAAAAAAAAAAGTATTTAATAAAATTACTTCTATTTATAATTTTATTTAATAAACAAATTATTTTAATTAATTAGATAATTAATTAAATATTATAATTATTTAATAATATTATAAAATTAATTAAATTATTTATTTATTAATATTTTAAATCATGAAAAGAGTTTTTAATATTTAAAAAACAATTAAATATATAAAATCATAATAAATATTTTATATTTATATTTAAAATAATAAAAAAACAAAAAAAAAACTTTCAAAGAATCGACTAATGATTGACCGAATCCGTTTATAATCTCCTTTATAATCGAGTTTACCTTCATAGGTTCGTCTGAATGAACCTTATAAAAAACCATAGCAGGTAAATTTTTATTTATTTAATTTCAACCATTACAAAAGTACAATCTTATCCTAATACTCTCTTCCTAGAGTTCATTTTAATTTGTCAATCTCAACTAAAATCATGTATGGACACTTTTCATAGACTTTATTTCATTTCCACTTTCAAACTCTGCATCCATCTCATTCTTCTTTCTTATTTTTGAAAGATGCCTCAGCAAATTATATGCGGTGTTGCTGAAAACATCATTAACAAGTTACTTTGACTTCATTCTCAACCCTTTATCTAATATTCCTTCCATTCTAATTATCATATAAAAGAAGTATCTAAATAATAACATGGCTAAGTTGGTATGCTCATATTTTTTCTTTTCTCAGGTTGGCTTCCGCTGCTTTTCGTGAATTTGGACGGATTTATGGTGTTATGGATGAACTGGAAAGGCTTAAGAGTACTCTTGACTCCATTAAAGCTGAGATCCTGGATGCCGAGGACAAGCAACAACAAAACCGTGCCATACAGATCTGGATAAGAAGACTCAAAGATGATGTGCTTCATCCTGCTGATGACTTGCTAGATGAATTTCTTATTCAAGATATGAGACACAAAACTCCGAAGAACAGAATGACAAAGGTACTTCATTCCTTCTCTCTAAATAGCATTGCTTTTCGCCACAGAATGGCTCATGTGATTCAAAAAGTACAGAAAAAGTTTGATGATATTGTAAAAGATATGGCTGGGTTGAATCTAAACCCAAACAATGTGGTGGTTGAACATAGTAAGAATGTAAAGAGGGAAACTAGTTCTTATGTGTTACAATCAGATATCATTGGAAGAGAAGATGATAAAAAAGAGATTATAAGCTTGTTGACGCAATCACATGGAAATCAAAATGTCTCTGTGGTCGCTATTGTTGGGATTGGTGGTTTGGGAAAGACAGCTCTTGCTCAGTTGGTATACAATGATGTTGAAGTGAAAAATATTTTTGAAAAGAGTATGTGGGTATGTGTCTCTGATAACTTCAATGTCAAAACTATTGTGAAGAAAATGTTGGAGTCATTAACCAAAAGCATAGTTGATGATAAGTTATCGTTGGAAAACATGCAGAATATGCTTCGTGACAATTTAACGGGTAAGAAATACTTGTTAGTCCTCGATGACATTTGGAACGAGAGTTTTGAAAAATGGGCTCAGTTGAGGACTTATTTGATGTGTGGTGCTCAAGACAGTAAGGTTGTAGTGACAACTCGTAGCAAAATTGTAGCACAAACAATGGGTGTAAGTGTCCCCTATATTGTGAATGGTTTGAATCCAATACAATCTTGGAGTTTGTTGAAGAAAATTGTTACATATGGGGATGAGACTAAAGCAGTGAATCAAATTCTTGAACCAATTGGAAAGAAGATAGCAGAAAAGTGCAAGGGTGTTCCACTAGCAATTAGAACGTTGGGAGGACTATTACAGGGTGAAAATGAAAAAAAGGAATGGATTGATATTTTACAAGGTGACTTTTGGAAATTATGTGAAGATGAAGAAAGCATCATGCCAGTGTTGAAACTAAGTTACCAAAACCTGTCGCCTCAACTCAGACAATGTTTTGCTTATTGCTCTTTATATCCTAAGGATTGGGAAATAGAGAAGGATGAGTTGATTCAATTATGGATGGCACAAGGTTATCTTGAATTTTCAGATGAAAAACAGGCCATGGAAGACATCGGTAACCAATTTGTGAAGATTTTCTTGATGAAGTCATTTTTCCAAGATGCTAAACTTAAAGATGATGGCAATTTATATAGTTTCAAAATACATGATTTAATACATGATCTCGCAATGCATGTAGCCGACACTGATTGTTGTTACCTTGATAGTGAGACAAAAAGACTTGTTGGAAGTCCAATGCATGTAATGTTAGAAAGTAATGCTATTAGTTTGTTAGAGAGATTGAAGGCAAGCAGGGTGCGAACTTTAATTTTAAAGAACGACATTTCTTGGGATTGGAATGAGAAGGAATTGTCCGTTATATCAAAATTCAAATACCTTCGCTTTTTGAAGGTGTCATATTGTTCTATAAGTAAGCTGTGTGATTCAATTGGAAATTTGAAGCATTTAAGATATCTTCGGTTACGGCATTGTATAGGACTAGAAGGCATTTTCAAATTCATACGTAACATTGTTTGTCTTCAAACACTAATATTGGAAAATTGGGAGATAGTTGAATTTTCTACAAAATATGACTTAAGTTTAAGCAATTTGAGACATCTTCATATTGAAAATTTTAAAGCATTTAAAGAGAAGAAGACAACCCGTGGATTTGGGAAATTAACGCTGGTGGAGCGCTATATGGATTTAATTTTTTTCAATCACCTTTCTTCACTCACAAATATTGTTACAATACTTCTTTTTGACTGTGAAGGTGTTCAGTATCTTCCAACAATGGAACGCCTCCCGTTCCTAAAGAGTCTTATTATAATTAAGCTTCATGAGTTGGAGTACATAAATTATGAAGAGCCTCTTTTGTCTGAAGAATTCTTCCCATCTTTAGAGACCCTCGTAATTTCTGGATGTGAAAAGTTGAAGGGATGGTGGAGGATAAGGAACGATAACTCTTTACAATCATTTCATCTGTCCTTTTTTCCTTGTCTTTCTTACTTAACTATCGTCGATTGTCCAATGTTGACACACATGCCTACTATTCCAAACCTCGACCAGAAATTGTATTTCAGTAATACTAAAATGGACACATTGGAAGCAACATTAAATATGGTTAAATCAAATTGTTCGATTGAATTCCCTCCACTTTCCATGCTAAAACATCTGTTTCTTGGCGGACATAAGCTGGACGTTAAAACACTTCCAAATGATTGGATGCAAAATATGACTTCTCTCAAGCATCTTGTTTTTTATGATCTTCCAAATCAAACATTTCAAGAAATTGAAATTTGGTTTAAGGACAGACTCAACTATCTTCCTTCCTTGCAAAAGATTGAAATTAGATGTTGTTCTGATCTTGAGACATTTCCAGTTTGGATTTGCAACCTTTCTTCACTTCAACATGTCACCATTGACTACTGTGAAATTTTAGCTTCACTGCCCGATGGAATGCCTCGTCTTACCAGCTTACAGACCCTTGAAATCATTAACTGTCCCCTCTTAATGGAAGAATGCCGGACAGAAACAAGTGTAACATGGCCCAAAATTGCTCACATCCCAAACATAATCTTAAATTGATCTTCTCATTAAAGGTACCCATATCCTGTTAAAACCACTTGCTAATTTTATTTGGTGGCTGTTGTTTGATTTTCTGGAACTTCAAAAGTAAATAGATTCCATAATTTGTAAATGGCTTAGTTAGATATGCATTGATGTTCTAGCAGATTGAGTTTCTTTCTAACATCAAAAAGTACCTTTTCACTCTTTGATTATGTTTGTGTTTTGAGTCTTAATTTGTTATTGCACTTGTTTTCTTGACTAATGACTATATGTGTGCCTCCTATTTTTCCGAAACTTGCCGAATTTCAATACTGTTTTGAATTAATTGTACTGATGCAATTGTTGAATGGTGAAGTATTGTTGAAGAAACATGCAATTGTTGAAGTCATGGAAGAATAATCCAAGTTACAATGTCTTGACAATACTATGCCACTTATTTGAAGGATGTTGTGATTCTGATATGCTTAAAATGAACTGCCAAGTTTGATTTGTTATTGGTATTATCGTCATTTTGGCTTTTTGAGCTGAGCTTTGTACAAGTATTGGCCACACCTTGTGCCATTTATGTACTGTATTTGAAATAGTGTTTGCAATGTTGTTTATTCAAACTCTGTTTATGCTGTAATGTTGCTCTACATTGTTATCTGTTCTTTCGGACGCGGGTAGTTGTCTAATGACGTGTCCCGCGTGGAGAGCACGTGGAGATCGTGAGGGAAACGTGTGGAAGCTCTCCGTGTGTGTTGATGGATTGAGCCTTTATTGGGCCTCCCCGAAGAGGAGCTGGATTGGGCCGTGTCCGGCGGCAGGTTAGCCTTAGGCCCAGTCCATAACAAAACCCATTTTAAAATATTTAATTTTGTTATATTTAAAACTTAAGAAAATGTCATCATTGAAATAACACAAGATAAAATATTTTTATGAGCTATGCTATGATGACCCCCATTTACTACACCGTATGTATGTATTTGCTTTAGCCTGACACATATTTCAAAACTAGATAAAAAATTATTAAAAAATGATAAGTACTTTGTTTAGGGTAGAAATTACGTCGAATGTTATCCTACAGAGAAATCAATTAAGAAATAAATAGAAAAAAGCTTTTATTGTGTCACTTAAGTTATATAGAAATTTTTGAATCCAAGAGTTAAGAATAATGAGTTCTTGATTACCTCTAATAGAATAAACACTTAGAATAAGAAAACATATTATATTTGTAAAGAAATGTAAAATTGTATGGATATGATCTTCGTGTAGGTGTCATAATATCATTTCTCTATTTTTATATCTAAATTCTTGTTTCAATTTGTTACACAAATAACAAGCTAACCTTTATGCAATAAACATGCTTATAGCTAGGTGTTTCACCCTCACCAAATAGCAAGGCAAGTATATATATAATAAGAAAAACAAAGCTAATTGACTTGAGCAGCATACAACAAAGGGTCTAAAAGGAATCTTGCACGTTTCTTCTCTATTTCTTTGTTGTTGAGTGAAGAATTAAATTTTTTGGCTATTTCTATACTTAATCTCTCTTCTGAATCCCTTTATTAAAGCAAAGTGGTTAATATATAGCTTTACAAATATCAGTAAATACGTTCGTGTATTTTCTAGTAACAAACTAAAACATGAGCATGCCCTCCCCTAAACTAGTAACCAGTTGCAGTATGCAATTAGTTTACTTCATTAAGATCAAACATTCTCATATCTTCTTCTTGAGCTTTTGGAAAGCCTCAAGTTGTAAAGGCTTAGTCATCAAATTTGCAACCTGCTCCTGAGTTGCACAGTGCACCAATTCGACTTCGCCATCCTTCGCAATATCTCTTAAAAAATAAAACACACTTTGATATGCTTGCTCCTTCCATGCATTACCAGGTTTTTTTTTATAATATAATTGTTGAGCTATTGTCGCACATGATAACGATACTTCCTTCTTGAGCATGACTTAAGTTTCTCAAAACCCTTCTGTTTTTTTTGCATAATTTCTATGCCAAGAAAGAATCTCATCTTGACCAAATCAGTCATGTCAAAATCAGATCGTCGACATAAATGCTAATGATTAATATACAACCTCGTGTACTTCTTTTGATGAACAAGGTTTGTTCGTTTAGGCCTTTTTTAAAACCTTCCTTCATGAAATGGGATTCTATATGACTGAACCTTGCTCTTGGTGCATGTTTAAGCCATACAAGACTTTATGTAACTTGTAAACCTTATGCTCTTTTCCTTTCTTCACAAACCCTTTTAGTTGCTCAACTTATACGTTCTTGTTTAATTCACCATAAAGAAACGCAAATTTGACATCAAGCTGAAAGATGTCCCATCCTCTACATGGTACAAGAGCCACGACCATTCTTACAGTATCCATGCGAGCAACAGGAGCAAACACTTCAGTAAAATCGATTCTGTGTTGTTGACTGTAACCCTTATCCACCAATCGAGCCTTATACTTTGTCTACCTCACCCTTCTCATTCAATTTTGTCTTGAAAATCCATTTAACTCCAATTGTTTTCTCTCTAACAGGTAGATCCATTAGCACCCACGTTCCTACTTTCGTTGCTCCCATCATCTTCATCGCCAATAATATTTATGACAATAATATTTTTAATGATAGTTGCAATCAACTAAACAGAATTAAGACAATAATATTTTGCCAATAATATTATTTGGAAAGTTTCTGGAAAATAGAAGACACACATATGAAATGAAACTAGGTAAAAAAATGTATTGGACAAGAAAATAAGTGCAATAACAAATTAAGACAAAAACATAATCAAAGAGGGAGACGGCATTTTTTGACGTTACAAAGAAAATCAACCTACTAGGACATTGATACATAACCAACAAAGCCATTTACAAATCTGTTTACTACTGAAATTCTAGAAAATCAAACAACAAACACAAAATAAATTTAAGAGGACATAGGTACCTTAATGAGAAGATGACTTTAAGATTATGTTTGGGATGTGAGCAATGTTGAGACATGTCACTTGTTTCTGTCCGGCATTCTTCAATTAAGAGGGGACTTTCAATGATTTCAAGGGTCTGTAAGTTGGTAAGATGAGGCATTCCATCAGGCAGCGAAGCTAAAATTTGACAGTTCGAAATGGTGAGAGGTTGCAAATCCAAGCTGGAAATGCCTCTAGATCGGAACAATATAAAATTTCAAGCTTTTGCAGGGAAGGAAGATAAATTGTACATTCTTGCAACAAAAACCAATGACTGTTTTTGCAATTTATGTTCAACAAAACACAGTGAAAAATGGTCATATTTAATTGCTTTTAAACAAAGTGAATCACACATAAACCTTTAAAAATATAGAGCCTTAGATAACAATATACAACAACTTCTTACTATCATTACATTGGCAACATATACGATTGTATAAAGTATTTCAAGATACAATACAGATACTATTGCATAAGCTATTTTTAGATACAACGCCAATAAAATACCACAAGAGCCCCAATTACTAACATTGGGGCAACTTATTATCATTTCGAGATACACTAGCATCATCATTAATAATTTCAAGAGACAGTTAATCGAAGGAGGCGAACATCTCTCCATTCCCTTACTCAATAATCCAATTAATACACACATGTAATAATCCATCCACACACAGCACTACACTGGTAGTCACCTTTGGGATTGATTGCAGCTGCATTTCCATCAGCATTCATGCACATACAGATCGCATCAGCTAGATAGTTGCTATGACACAAACATAAAGGTAAGTAACTAAAAGTGGTGAAGACAATCATTTTGCTCCACTTAACAATCAGCATAAGCAAAGAGGATTAATGCATGTGTCGTAAATAATTTACTTCTGAAGTTCTAGAAAATCAAACAGCAGACACCAAATAAATTTAGCAAGTGGTTTTAACAAGATATGGGTACCCTTGATGAGAAGATCACTTTAAGATTATGTTTGGGATGTGAGCAATTTTGAGACATGTTGCACTTGTTTCATTCCGGCATTCATCAATTAAGAGGGGACTTTGAATGATTTCAAGGGTATGTAAGTTGGTAAGATGAGGCATTCCGTCAGGAACTGAAGCTAAAATTTGACATTCCGAAATGGTTATATGCTCAAGTGACGAGAGGTTGCAAATCCAAACTGGAAATGCCTCTAGCTCGAAACATTGTGAAATTTTTATCTTTTGCAGGGAAGGAAGATGGTTGAGTTTGTCCTCAAACCAAATTTCAATTTCTTGAAATGTTTCATTTGGTAGATTATAAAATTCAAGATGCTTGAGAGAAGTCAGATTTCCCATCCAATCATTTGGGAGTGTTTTCACGTTCAGCTCGTGTCCGCCAAGAATCAAGAATTTTAGCATGGAAAGTGGAGGGAATTCAATCGAAGAATTCAATTTTACCATGTTTAATGTTGCTTCCAATGCGTCCGTATTACAATTAAAGAAATCCAATTTCTTGTCAAGGTTTGGAAAAGTAGGCATGTGACTCAACATTGGACAATCAACAATAGTTAAGTAAGAAAGACAAGGCAAAAAGGAGAGATGATATGATTGTGAAGAGTTATCATCCCTTATCCTCCGCCATCCCTTCAACTTTTGGCATCTGAAAATTCTGAGAACCTCCAAAGAAGGGAAGAATGCTTCAGACAAAAGAGGCTCTTCATAATATATGAACTCCAACTCATGAAGGTCGCCTATAAAAAGATACTTTAGGAATGGGAGACATTCCATTGGTTGGAGATATTGCACGCCTTGACAGTTCCTAAGAAATATTTTCACAATGTTTGTGAGGGAAGAAAGCCAGTTGGAAAAAATGAAACCCTTATATTGCTCCCCTAGGCTTAATTTTCCAAATCCAGCCGTTGTCTTCTTTTCTTTAAATGCTTTTAAATTTTCAATATGAAGATATCTCAAATTGATTAAATTTAAGATATCTTTTGTAGAAAATTCAAACACTCGACACTCAACCAATATAAGTGTTTGAAGACAAACAATGTTACCTATGGATTTGAAAATGCCTTCTAGTCCTGCACAGTACCATAACTGAAGATATCTTAAATGTTTCAAATTTCCAATTAAATCACACAACTTACTTATAGAACAATATGACAGCTTCAAAAAGCGTAGGAATTTGAACTTTGAAATTACAGACAATTCCTTCTCATACCAATTCCCTGAAATGTTGTTCTCAAATATTAAAGTTCGCAACCTGCTTGCATCTAATGACTCTAACAAACCAATAGCATCACTCAACATTACATGCATGGGACTTCCTACAAGTCTTTTTGTCTCATTATCCAAGAAACAACAATCATTCCCGGCAACTTGCATGGCAAGATCGTGTATTAAATCGTGCATTTTAAAACTATTTAAATCACGGTCATCATCAACTTCAGCATCTTGGAAAAATGACTTCATCAACAAAATCTTCACGAATTGGTTACCGATGTCATCCACGGTAAGTTTTTCATCTGAAAATTCAAGATAACCTTGTGCCATCCATAGTTGAATCAACTCATCCTTTTGTATTTCCCAATCCTTAGGATATAAAGAGCAATAAGCAAAACATTGTCTGAGTTGAGGCGACAAGTTTTGGTAACTTAGTTTCAACACTGGCATGATGCTTTCTTCATCTTCACATAATTTCCAAAAGTCACCTTGTAAGATAGCAATCCATTCCTTTTTATCATTTTGGCCCTGTAAAAGGCCTCCCAGCGTTCTGATTGCTAGTGGAACACCACTGCACTTTTCTGCTATCTTCTTTCCGATTGGTTCAAGAATTTGATTCACTTCTTTAGTCTCATCCCCGTATGTAATAATTTTCTTCAACAAACTCCATGATTGTATTGGATTCAAACCATTCAAAATGTAGGGGACACTTACACCCATTGTTTGTGCTACAATTTTAGTACGAGTTGTCACTACAACCTTACTGTCTTGAGCACCACACATCAAATAAGTCCTCAATTGAGTCCATTTTTCAAAACTCTCGTTCCAAATGTCATCTAGGACTAACAGGTATTTCTTACCCGTTAAGTTGTCCCGAAGCATTTTCTGCAAGTTTTCCAATGGTAACTTATCACTAACTTCGCTTTCGGTTAATGACTCCAACATTTTCTTAAGAATAGTTTTGACATCAAACTTATTAGAGACACATACCCACATATGCTTTTCAAAAATCTTTGCAACTTCAGCATCATTATATACCAATTGAGCAAGAGCTGTCTTTCCCAAACCACCAATCCCAGTAATAGCTACCACGGAGACATTTTGATTACCATGCGATTGCCTCAACAAGCTTACAATCTTGTTTTTATCATCTTCTCTTCCGATGATATCTGATTCTAACACATAAGAACTAGTTTCTCTATTTACATTGTTACTTTGCTCAGCCACCACAACATTTGGGGTTAGATTCAAACCAATCATATCTTTCACAACATCTTTAAATTTCTTTTGTATTTTTTCAATCCCATGAGCCATTCTACTGCGAAAAACAATTTTGTTTGGAGAAAAGGAATGAAGTACCTTTGTCACTTTGTTCTTAGAAGTTTCATCTATTTTGTACTTCATATCTTCAATAACAAATTCATCTAGCAAGTCATCAGCAGGATGAAGCACATCGTCTTTGAGTCTTCTTATCCATATTTGAACAGCATGACTTTGCTGTTGTTTGTCTTCAGCATCAAATAGCACAGCTTTGATGGAGTCAAGAGTACGCTTAAGCCTTTCCAGTTCATCCATAACACCATAAATCCTTCCAAATTCACGAAAAGCTGCAGAAGCCAACCTGAGAAAAGAAAAATTATCAGCATTACAACTTAGCTATATATGAAATATATAAATAGTGGGTGGAAGGAATATTAGATAAAGGGTTGAGAATGAAGTGAAGTGACCTGTTAATGAGGTTTTCAGCAACACCACATACAATTTGCTCAGGCATCTTTCAAAAACAAGAAAGAAGAATGAGATGGATGCAAAGTTTGAGAGCGGCAATGAAATGAACTCTATGAAAAGTGTCGGTACATGATTTTAGTTGAGTAATTGCTGTACAAAAATGAATTCTAAGAAAAGCATTAGGATAAGGCTATACTTGACAAATGTATGGTTTTCCATCTCTGGTACAGTTTGAGCATATTATTGGTTAATGTTGGTATAATCCTTTGGAGCAACCAGAGGACTTTAAATTCAAAGATAAAAAGATAATTTGTTTTGTAGATCAAAGAAAAATGTGTACGGACTGACGCAATTACCACAACAATGATACATGAAATTTTATTATTTTATGCATAAATATTTTCCTCCAAGCTACAATAAAGAAATGTCTTCTTCACATTAAATTGTTCAATATCTAGATTCAAAAACTAGTTCTTAATCCAATCACAACTCGGATAGAAGTCATAGGTGAGTAAGAAAATTACAAAAGCAATATTCTTCTTCTAACCAAAACCTTTTATAACCAGTCATTGTTGGAACATGTCAAAAATACTAATATTGTGTGTTAATTGAAAACGCTCCCGTATTACTTAGCATACACGCTAAAATTAGTTCCGATATTATAGAAGAGAAAAGAAAAAATTTAAGTCTCACAATACTTATATTCCATATCTTGGTTAACTTATTTTTATATAACAAATGCACATATTTCATTCTAATAACCAGGGCGGGTAATCGTGACAGCCGTGACAATGGGTTGAAATTTATACTATAAGTAAATAAATATTTTTAAAATAAAAAACCTAACAACAAAATTGTTCACACAAAAATGTATTATGCTGAACCAAAGACATTCATTTGAAGCATCCCCTGTTCCAATCTAATGAGGATTTACAATAATAAATTAACATGTCGGAGACCATATGTTGCTATATGACAGAAAGACCTAATAACAAAAAAATATAAACAAGGGTAAGAAAGAATTCAACTTCTATTAATAAGGGCCGGGGGTAATTATGAAAGGAATTTAGTCCTCAGGGCTTCCTCAGCGCCGATGCTGCCCCCATTACAATCGCCAGGACAAACCCAATACCAGCCCCAAGGGATGCGCCTACAGCAGCTGAATTCAATGAAATTGCCCTACCTACACCATTTTTACTTCCTTCATTTGATATTCTTTGTTCTCTCGCTAACTCCATCATTAGTCTATCTCTGGCAAGTTCCTGTGATATAAACATTCAAAAGGGGAATAAAATATAGTGTGCATTATCATAAGAAATACATTTGAAGTTGTGCAATAAAGAACATCAACAAATATTGTGCATCAACAAAAGGTCTATATTAATATAGTAGCAAAGTTTCACTTGAAACAGAATCCCGAAGAACATAAACAACCGAGCTTCAAACTCAAAAGCTTCACTGTGATTAGTGTACACCTGTTACACAAAGAGTAGTGCTAGTAACACTCGCGGTAACTCGACAAATTCATGTAGGTGTACTAAACTAACATGTCCCATTTTCAAAGTGGTGGAACAAACATGAACTTCACCCCTATCATAGAGTAGTGTTTGGACTTTGGACAAAGAGAGTTAACGCGTGTTGCTAGCACTTGTGTTAAACTAAATTTCCCTACTAATACTAACATTTTGAAATTAATCAAATTAAGAAAAATACAATATATACAAAACCATGAAATTAAGTTTTTTCCACCTGAAACGAAGACTCCTCGTGACTGCGAAGAACGCGATGGATTTGCTGACATAGTGAGGAGACACCTTCAACTTGAAGAACAGTCTCTTTTTTCAAGAAAGGCCTCCTAACGAAATTGATAGGAGCAAGTAAAATCTTTTGAGCACCCACCCTATTATTGGATTCCGCATTAGTTGCATCCCACGACAAAGAAGCCCCAGCAAAACCAGGCATAACGTAAGGGCAGGAGTTTATAACTTCAACTGAGCTAGGAGATACTTGGTAAGCTTTCAAAGCAGCATCAATTGCTGCCTTTTGATGGTGAGCACTAACTGCAAATTTGTTTGTTATTGCAATAACCCATGGAATTCCAAGACATTTAGCTTCGTCCAAGAAAAGTGACAGGACTGGCTTCTGTCGAGTGCCATTTGAATCACTATAGCGAGGTATAGTATGGGATAAGTTATGAACAAGAACAATCAAGTCGGTTTTTCTATTTAGATCTCGAATACCAGCCCACAGTTCATCCTTGAAGCGAGAGGTTTCTGATTTCAGTTCCTGAAAAATATTATATGAAAAAGCAAATGAGCATCACTATATATTTAAACCAATTCAAATTGTACTGTCTATTTTCCAACTAGACAGCCATAAAACCTTATTAACAAAATGCTACTCTGCCCCTAAGCCAAGCTCTTAAAGCCAACTATAAACACATGAAATATCTGCTTAACTACTATACTAGGCACCATCTAGTTATAAGAATATTTTTCTTCTATTAATAGTAATAAAATTTTGAAAATAATCAAGTGTATCAAGCACAGGCCACTTTGCAGGGAAAAACAAGGACCAAGAGAAAACCTGCATATTTATTCCGGCAGATTCACAATAGCACAAACCATCAGCAATAACTTCTTGCATGTCAATATCTGAAACTGCATCATCATCAGCAGCAGTACTTGGTTTACATTTATTCATGATTGCCTTTAAAAGAGTAGTTTTACCCGATCCCTGCACATAAGCCAACTCATGAAAGTAAGTAAATGAATAATAAAAGGAATCACACTTTTAACTCGAGAAAAATTGTCTGTACCTCCAACCCAACTAATCGTACTCTTCGAGTTCTCAAATGAACCTCTTTGGAAACAGTTGTAAAATCACTGGTGCAAAATATTAAAAAGTTATTTAAACTTTCTGGACGGACACATGTATCCTTGTCAACACATGCTGAACTACCCGCAGTCTTTGAATCAACAGAGGTAAAAGTGGGCATTAAGGAGTCTAACACAGTTTGATATTTTGGAGCCGTTCTTTGCGGAGCACCAATTAATATTCTCATCTTTTGTAACTCAGGCTGAATTTCTTGATTTAAAGAATAGTTTGGTGCTGAAGGAAAGGATTCAACGGTAGTTGAACACCTATGTAAGATATAAATACATGTCAGTACATCACAGAAGGAAATTATTTTATAAGCGATAAACATGAAATGAGAAACAGAAAAAGGCACTTGAAGGTTTTATATATTTCAATTTATAAGTTGCATGGCACTGTGCTATTAACTCCTCCTATATCACTAATCCAGGAATCTGTATAATAAATATACAGTTAGAATAAATGGGAAAAGTAAACGGCATGCAGATTGTATAATTTGCAGATTAAATGGGAAAATTAAACGTCATGCACAAACTCATTCAGGAACTGCATAATTTAATAGAAGACAGACATCACAGAAACAATTCGATTACCATAATACTAGCTTGATGGCTTTAGAAACCTACCCGCTCAATCATCCATAAATTAATAGTTATATGTAACAAAACTTTGCACTAAATATTAGATCGGAGATGAATAGTGGTTGAAACATTTTCAAGTAAACTTACAAGTGTAGGTAGGGACTTGGGAGTATGTTGAAATTTCAACTATCCACTTGTTAGGAAACGTTTTATGCAACTTCTACCATTCGGATATTTGTTGTAGGGAGTGTTGAAATTTCAATTATCCACTTTCACTTCATCAATCCCCTCCACTCTTGAAGGAGGTGGATGAAATGTGTAGTTGAAGATGACACCTTTAGTTTATGTTTAGACTTTAGAATCAATAAATATCATTGGGCATGAAACATATTAATATAATCTATATGGCATGGTCTAGAGAAGGGCCAGATCCATTTGGGTCTATTGTAGACAACTTTATCTTGCATTTGCAAGAGAAACTAATTCCACAACTTGAAGCCATAACCTTATAGGGAATGTTGGATAAACTTAATTAAATGCCTTCTCAGTAATCAATTCTCATATAAGAGCTTATCCTTAAGCTGTTTTTACAAATAGAGAGAAAATAGGAGTACATTTTTTAAAAGCTCTCTACAAACTGTTTTTATAAGCTATCATGGGAAGCTTATGAAAATAAGCTAAAAATAGCTTATTAGCATATCATAGATAGTTGCTTTTTTTCAAAAATGGTTTTCACTTTTAGTAAGCTCCTCCAAACACTTATGCCATAACTCATAAGATAATCCCAAATAGCCTCTACCAACCACCCCCTTAGCCACACAGCAGCAACTCCAACCTCTATGACAAGGCTTCCCTTTCAAAACATATTTAATTAGCCGTCATAAATTTATGAAGTGAATGTTAACAACAGACCTGCGGGTGTTAATAGAAAAGTTGAAAGTTCTTATTGGAAAAGAAAGCACTTATTACATTGGAAACACAATAGCGCAATAAATGCTTTTTTTCCCAATAAAAACTTCACTCACCTTAGTATTCTTAACACTAGCCTTAAAGACTGGAATTAATCGGACCTAACTATTTATAAGAAAACTACATCTGTAAATGATATTTTATTGGGTAATGACAATACCAGTCACCATTCACTTGAGCGTGAACAAGTGTACAGAGATGCAACCCGAAACCAGTAATATCAACTTTCAGAGGTTCTCCATTTTTTGCTCCAGGCACACCATTCCATCCTAGAGGAACAATAGAAGTTGCAGTACGTATAATAGGAGACTCTACTATACGCCCAAGCTCAACAGTGTCTGCAGCTGCAAGCCCAAGCCATTGTTGTAGATGAGAAACCTGTTGCCATTGCTCAATCCCTAAGAAAGATGATGCATCATCACTCATACATAAGTCAAAGATTCTGCAACCAAAAAAGGGTAAAAGAAAGGGATTACTTGTATTCAAAACATAATCAATTAGTAATGTTAAAAGGTGCAATCATGCTGGGAGGATGTATTATTGAAATAATATACAATAGGCAGCAGGGCAAATTAGTTTAGACATGATCTGGTCTTGGGAATATGGCCAGTATGGCCATTTAAGTGTGTAATAATTTTCAAAACTATAAAGAACAACTCTATTATACGCAACATGATAAGAAAGATGATTACCTCTGAAACCGAGATCGGTATGATTTCATTGAATGTGATTGAAATCTTTCCCTCAATTCAGCAATCATTGATTTGACCTGAAAATGCCTTTGCCAGAAGAAAGCAAGCAAAATGAGAGAACTTACACTATTGCACTCATAAATACAACAAGGTTGGATTATAAATACTAAGACCGAAATGGAAAGGACTTTGATAAGCAATGAAAAGAAGTTCATACCGATGTCAACTTCGAGTACTCTGCACCTGATAGTGACTCTACAGAGGATTTCTCCAATAAATAAAGCTGTCTTGCATAAAACAGGTTTTGATGAGAAAAATTTATTCAGACATGGCAGCACCACTATCATGCTATGCAGGAAAAGGATAAAACAATGTAGGATAACTACGAAAAATAAATCAAAATAATACTAAAAAAACACAAGGAGATTATAAGTAATGCACAAACAAACTGCTAAAAAAAAAACTTTAGCATATTTAGTGACAGCAACAGAAACTGTAATGAATTATATGTCCCTAACATCTACCTGTCCAAAAGGTACATATGATGGTAAATAAGGTACTTTGTGCCATTTTCCTTCATCACCGTTCATGGCATCGGCCTTTGCATTTGTTTTCCCATTTGTTGACACCTCTAATGAATGTTTATCAGTTTCAGGAAAAGGCTTGAGTGATATGCCATCAGAACCCTCTTGTATTTCAAGTGACCGCGGTTGAACCACTTCATCCTCAATCAAGGTATTGGAAAGAGAATCAGGCAATGAATTTGTTTCAACAGAACTTATTCTTCTTTCTTGGTGCTTACTAAATTGTCTTCGCAATCCTTCTAAAGGGACTAGCCTTGAGAGTCTCCAGAAGGATCTCTGCACCGGACCTACTCCCAGAACCAACTGTTCACCATTATTGATTTTTGGCTTTGCTACCCCTTCTTCCTGTTTTCTCAATAATAAGCTGTTACTTTCATTTTCAGAAAGCACTGGCCCAGACTGAGCATTATAATGGCTGAAATATGCAGGAGATAAAATACGGGGAACCAAATCTTCTGGGATGCAATAACTTTTGAAATAATGCCGCCAACCTTTTCTATTAATGTAGCTGAAAAGAAAAACCAGAAACAAAATAACTAATAAATATTCTAGTTTTTCATGTTTGAAAAAATATTAGCGACGAACAACTTATTTTTGGTGGACAAGCAGCTAACAATTTAAGAATAGGAGAAAAGAAATACAAGGAAAACCTACTCCTTCAAAGCAGCATTTCCAACAGGCGGTTGAGAAAATGTGATACATTTGATAGAGACATTCCCATTTTCCTTTGATGAAGATGAAGCAGCAATTACTCTCAAAATGGCAAGAGTAGCTAATGCTGCTACCTATGTAGAATATTAAGAACTTAGTATATGCAAATTGTTCAATCACGTTAAGCAATATGTTGAAACCAAGATTGATGAAGTAAACTCACTGCTCCTCCAAGTGAATGGCCACACAAAACAAGCTTCCGTTTCTTCTTTTGAGCAAGCCTATATAATTCTAATGCGGGTATTCCTTTGGCACGGGCCATGAAACCCTGAGAAATAATGGAGGAATTTATTTTAACAGAAAGATAATTTACATAACTGGTATAAATATATTACAAAGTATCCAGAATAAAAAGCAACAAAAGCCTTTTATGACTAGGTGGCATTAGCCATATGGATCAAATAGCCACATAACATCACGGCATATTGTAAACCATGCCCAATGACACTAGTAGAATTGAAATACTACTTCATGATTTTGCCTATAGCTTTGCTAGATCTTCCTCTATCTCTAACAATAAGACTACCCTCGTCAAATAAAAACCCTATAAATATTGAATTTTGCTGGTCTTCGCCACATATGTATTTATCATCTATAAATAACATCACGGCATATTGTAAACCATGCACAATAACACTAGTAGAATTTAAATCCTACTTCAGGATTTTGCCTATAGCTTTGCTAGATCTTCCTCTATCTCTAACAATAAGACTACCCTCGTCAAATAAAAACCCTATAAATATTGAATTTCGCTTGTCTTCGCCACATATGACTTGATCATCTAGGACAAGATTCTATCACCCTTTCCATAATAAGTGTTGCCCCAACATTCTCTCTAAAGCATTCTATAGTCCTATCTTAACTTGCATGTCTACTCACCAATCATGACATGCTCATGTTTGCAACATTGAGTTTATTTTCTTGTTGGTCCTATCACATGACATTAAACTTCATAAAACTACAAGACGAAAAGCCAATTGGTAACATTATCCCTTAAGCTTGGATAATTCTTTTGTATCACATATAACACCAAGAAAATCCTCCATGTCATCCACCAAACTTGAATATATTAGATTAAGAGAATTTGAGAGAAAATGTAAGTTTCTGTTTGTTAGATTTTAACATTCTGAATCTCTGAACATATAGATTAGATTTATGGTAACTGAACTCGGTGCCCAGGGGTTTACAACGCTCACACATTGTGCACCAAGCACTTGTGTTAAGACTCAGGCCGTAGTAGCATTAAATTTGTTAGCAATTTGTATTGTTTTCCAAGTTTACCCTTTAAATGAGAGAATTAATTTATCTTCCCGTTATAATATTTATTGCAAGTTAACAAAAAAATGTACAATAATTAGGGACATTTTGATACGGAAACAATTAACGCAATTGAAAATTTAAAAGGGGTCTTAAAAGGGATAAAGAAAATTCCCAAAAGGGTCCTATATTTAGAGATGGATGCAATATCATCATATGATGATGTGATACTCAAAACAAAGATTGACATTGTATTCTTGATTTCAATACCAAGTCTCAGAATTTGGGTTGGGTCTAATTCATCCCTAAAAAACCGGCTTGTAGGGTGAGGATTGTCCCCACTTATAAACACAATGTGGGACTAAATCCACTCCTTCAAAGCTAACACAATGAAGGTGTTAAGAGCTGCAATGAGGCAAGCAAAAGAGCCGCAATTAAGGCGACTAGGGGAGGACTGCAATTAAGGCGGAAAGACCAACACACATCCTCACACACATCCTCACGCTTGGGCCTCAATGAGCCAAAAGCGTGGACGATGCGGGAAGCCCAACAATAGATCTAGGATAGGCTTTGATACCATCTCCGAATTTGGGTTGGACCTAACTCATCCCTACAAAACCGGCTTGTAGGGTGAGAATTGCCCCCACTTATAAACACAACACAAGTCATATCTCTAAACAATGTGGGACTAAATCCACCCCTTCAAGCTAATACAATGAAGGTGGTAGGGGCTGCAATGAGGCAAGCCAAAGAGCCACAATTAAGGCGACTAGGGGCTGACCGCAATTAAGGCGGAAAGTCCAACACCAAGGAATAAAATGAGTTGAACAGTTGGGAAATTAAGATACTAATTGTAAGTTTACAAAATATAAAATCTGAAAAATGGTTAGATTGATTTTTTGGTTTCTTGAGAAATTTCAAATTAAGTCCCTATAGGTAAAAGTAGTATTTGGTTTCCTAACTCCCTATAGTTTTGAAAAGAATAATTAATTGAGTCTGTATAGGCTCAAACAGTAAGCTAGATTTCAGGACCCATCACAACCTTTTGAAGCTATTGGGTCATAATTGAAATTTCCAACTATAATCTATTAAGCTTATTTGTAATTTCCGAAAGAATATAAGAATTTAGAAATTAATAAAAAAAAGAATATATAAGATGAAGGACAACATTATTTACCCTATGGGCAGCAGGTTTATAATTACTCTTTTGTTTAGACCTGGATTCTAGAGGATTCCAAATATATTCTTTTCCATTTGAGTTTTCCCCCTTATCAGATTCAGTTGCTGCATGTGCATCTGATTCTTCAGCAACATCTTCATGAAAGATTGCACCTTGAAGTATATTTGCATCAGCAATTACATCCCTTTCAGCAAAATTAAAAGGTAAAGATCCCAGAAGTTGTAATGAATTTAAATAATAAGACATAAATATATGAAAAACTAACTTGTATTGCTTTGTTCCAATGAAGGAAGCAAATAAAGTGTCCCCTGTCTCTGCCAATAAATACCTGTGACAACATAATTAATCAAATAAGTATGACAGTTCAAAACATTCAACCTTACACTGCAAAACCTTATAGACTTGTAAGAAAAACCATAGGTTAAAGTTGAATACAAAATTCTACTTCAAAAGACAACCCAAAAATCTAACTGGTTACAAGTAAAGGAATTGCGATTATTTAATATTACTTATGTCCCAAAATAAGTGTCATGTTTAGAAAAATTATTTGTCCCAAAATGCTTGTCACTTCAGGTAATCAATGCAATTTTAATTTTCATCTTCCAATTGTACCCTCTAATTAATACTCTTAATTTATTGTTTTCTCACTTTACATCAATGCACATTCGAAAACACCAATAGTTGGTAAGGATAATCTGATAAAATCGCTATTCTCTCTTTCATTTGTTACACTTTCTGAATGTGTGAAAGTGTCAAGTATGACACTTATTTTTGGGACGGAGGGAGTAATTTCTTCTTAGCAATGTGAGCTGTTGAGAGACTTACATGCTAGATTGTCAAAGAAACAAAACAAAACAAACAAACTGAATCAATCCCCAATCACGGATAGTGGAACTGATAAAATCACTATTCTCTCTTTCATTGATACATTTTTCGAATGTGTGAAAGTGTCAAAACAAAACAATGTGAGCTGTTGAGAGACTCACATGCTAGATTGTCAAAGAAAGAGAGAGAAATCTTCAGAGATTTTCTGGTGTTTTAAGGCGGAAATCCATAAAATACCCCACAAAAAATCCCAAATGTTTAATTTCATAGTGCTTTTTTGGCATTGCAGCACGGACTCGTGGGGTGGTGTAATAGTTCCGTGATTCCTCCTATATCCACTGCAAGGTTTGCTGCAGTAAGAGCAACACGGTAGAGGGTGCTGTAGTGGCCAGCCTTCATTACACTCACAGGTATTGTGTACTGTTGACAACCCCCATCTCTCAAATAAAATCCGATATTATTATATATTTTCAAGAAATAAATGGTGAACTTTAGAATGAGATCAAAACCACTACATGTCAAAAGACGTAGAGCCGTTTATGTAATTAATACAATATCAAAAGAGTAAATGACAAACCTATGAGGAACATGATCTGATGAGGGTTGCACCCGCTCCAGAGCAACAATTTGTCCTCCAAAATCGGCTTTAAATTTATTTACAGCTCGAATCATCTCAGTAGCAGGCCTCTGTGATATAGGGAAGTCACATATAAATGTAAGTTTATGTTGATTGTAGCCAACGTACATTCAAGCAAGCATAGTACACATAACAACTCATTAAAGTTCCTATGTTTTTGTAAGTGCTTGTATGAGTCTTGAAGGACATATACTATGCAGGTAATTCCTGAATCATTGTTTGCCAATATATTTTCTAATGATAGTTGCACTCAGCTAAACATAGTATATTTTCCACCAATATATTTTGTAAGTGCTTGTATGAGTCTTGAAGGACATATACTGTGCAGGTAATTCCTAAATCATTGTTCACCAATATATTTTCCAAATCAGCATACTTGCTAATGCCTCTGCAAATGCAAGATAAGTTTGTCTTGTCTACAATAGACCCACAATGGATCCAACTCTTCCCTAGAATTTACCATGGCCAGTGGCCAGAGCTTTGTAGTACCAGGTTCCCCTTGTTCTTAATTGCATTCACTTGAATAATTTGGAATGAACTGTCGGTATTATAAAATGAAACTGCACGGATTTAGATCCAAGAGAGAATCTCTCAAAATAAGGAAAACAAGGAACTTGGCAAGAGAGTTTCTGAGAAAACTATAATAAAAAGGTAATACAGAGAGAGAATAGTCCTAATAATGAAAATAAGCAACATATTCAACAAAACCCCCAGCATACTAAAGCAAGAGGAGTGACCCTAAGAATATAGAGAAATCTCTACCAAGCTTCACAGTTCTCAAATGAAGTAGAATAGGAGTGGCTACATCATTGTGTATGGCAATTAGCAACCACCACTACATCCTAATTCACTACGACATTTAAAAGCAGTCCAACAATACTTATATTTGAAATTGATATAAGCAAGATTCTGAAATGGAATAGTTTTTGACTGAAACATATATGTCACAGTATTAGGTCCACAGAAAGATTATAACTCAAACTTTAAATAAGATGAATGACTCATTTGACATTGAACCAAGCTACCGAGCATTCGTTTAAGACATGAGAATAAATTATTTAGGGATGAATCGTGCGCCTTGACAGTCTCTCCAATTAACACATATAATGAAGTCCACATAAATAATCAAGATATACAATCATTTTTGTCAATAGCGCGCTACAGCGGAATAGAGTAGTGGTGGTATGAGTCGGCGCAATGTTTTTGGGCTGCAAGCCCCGTCAGCAATAGTGTTTGTTGCGGCCATAACTTTGCGTCCGCTATTAGGGTTATGGGACGTAATTCCTCAAATCTTTTTTCTTCAAAAACCCTTGTCTTAAGTGAATAAATGTCAATTAGAACCCGTTTGAGTGTAATATTATGTCCTTTGTTGAATTATATTCTTGCTCACAAACAATTGTTTTGTCTTTCTTCCTGCTTTTAGTTTAATTCTTTTATATTCTTCTCTGTTAAGTTTTATTAACTTTTATTGTTCTTAACTTTAAGTTCTTTAATTCTTGTCAAAAAAAAAAAAAAACTTTAAGTTCTTTAATTTTGAGTATTTTTCTATTTATGAGTATTTGTGTTTACTTAAACTGGCTCTTTAATTAATGTTTAATTTTGTGTATATCTCCAAAGTATAATAATACAATGTCCCTTTAATATCAAAATCCCATCGCTAACTCCAACCTCATTCTCGCTAAAACTGAAAATTTTCTAATATCACACTATCCACTATGAAAACAAGACCTTCTCCATATAAAACTCAAACACTCCATCAATTATCAATTATCAGAAAATTTGGTTTCATTCAATCCAAATACCTAATTCACAGGCTTCTCTTTAAAAACTGCAACTGAAACAATAAACGGAATGAAATGAAGGAGATGAAAAACCTTGTAAACGCATTCGGAGAGAACCATGCAACAAAGAAGATCCTGCAAATCGGAGAGAGACTCAGTCTTAAGAGCTAAACAGAGATCGTTGAGCTGTTTCCGGCGCCGCTCATACTCCTCCTTGATCCGCTTCTTCTGCTCGCGGTGGTTAGTCCATGGCCATCGCATCCGCCATTGGAGTGGGCCCCACGAAACCTTCATGAGCCTCGCTCCTTGCTCTCTCATCCATGGCTCCACGCGGCTCTGGATGTACTCCATTGCCGATTGCAGAGGGATTCGGAATAACCCTAATTGGATTTTAGGATTCACGAAGTTAGTTAAAGTGCAATGAAAAAATGGTTACTACTATTATTATTAATAGTTTAAAGATAAAATAAAGTGGAAATAAATAAAGAGAATGTGATTCGTTTACGGTTAGATTAGATTTGAGAATCTAGTTCAGTTCTTTTCCAAGTGATGATGGCCAGCAAATCTAACTACTGTTTTTTTATTATGACAAAAATTTCAAGTGTTATTAGCTGCAATTAGTATTAGCTTTTAAATTAGAAATAATTAAAATATTTTATTGTATTGTATTTGAAAAATTAAATTTGATTCTGAAAAAAATCATTGATTCCTGTATTTGATGCGGAATACTTGCATAAAGAAGGGAATATCCTAATTCCTTTTTTTGGTACACATCACTATTATTATTGTTTTGGAATGTTCCTTCCTTGTTCTATTTTAATTAATAACTTTTTGTTTTAGGAATGGAAACGAAATGATATAAAAATATATGTGATATAAGTTAATTCATATTATTAATATCACTAAGAGATAGTAAAAATCATTAAGAGGGTTATAGGAGATAGAAGTTATTGAAAAAGAGAACCATGGAAGTATAACCTAACTTAAAAAATCAAAAAACAATTCATGTGTGATACAAAACAACCTTAAAATGCAAAGTAGTATTGAATTTTAATTTAAAGGAAACATCTTCTACACCACTTGTACAATCCAACGAACTCATGAGACACCGCTTGCACAATCTAACAAACTCGTTTATGAGCCCAAAATTGAATAATAAAAAATAGGTGTTTCAGCAAACAAACACATACTTAAATTTTTTATAATGACAAAATCAATAGCAATAGCAAAATCAATATTATTTCTAACCGATCAGTTCAAAGTCACGTTAGATTTCCTGTTTGTTAGGTTGTGATGATGGCCAGGAAATCTAACTACTGTTTGTTTACTCGCCAACACGTTACCAAGCTCACACACTAAACATTTCATTGTCATATCAATAGCAAAATCAATATTATTTCTAACCGATCAATTCAAAGTCAATCAAGAAACATTAAAGTGGATTTAAGAACATTCGCGAGTGCTCGAATACGACAGAAGCAAAATTGAAAACCTATAATTAAAAATTAGAGTCAGTCTCAACTAGACGAAATCTCACAATTAAAGAACAATTTTAATTAGTTTATGCACATGTCAATGACCAACCAACAGTAAACCAATGCCACAATCAGAAACCTATAAATCCATATGTGAAAAGTTATAAAGCATGTATTTGAAGACATCATTTCTACTACAAAAAATTAAGACGGATTAAAAGAGCTTGGTAATACAATCAGCACTGAAAATCATAAGGTAAGTGACGTTGTTTTTTAATTTAAAGAAGTTTTATCGTTAAAACAAAAAAAAACAAATAGAAGAAACAAAGTAATTTGAGCCCGTACAAGAAAATGAGTTAGAGAAAGAGGAGGTGAAAAGAAACATGAAAAGCCTTCATGTTAGAGATTTACCAAGAAAAGGAGAAGGATACTAAAAAACTACGTCCCTTAGAAGCTAACATAATTTGTGAAGACTTGATGAACCACGTTGACGCACCATGGACAAAAGAAATGGGACAACTAACAAAAAGGCCAAACAAATGACTTGACCCAAGTACGTACTTTGATCCTCTCAAATACATGTGTCGAGCTAACGACATTAAACAAACATGTATTGGGATGAAACTCAATTTTATTTTATTATTATTTGATTTTTGCACTTTCTAGTTTATTTAATCAGTTTTTTAGCAATTAAAGCTTAAAATGGTCTTGAGTCGATTGTTTTAAAATTAGTATGGCTACATGATTCACTCAACGACTAATCATTCGCTAAGTAAAATAGGGTGTGAAATCAAAGACTTACCAATATGTTACATTCGCTGAGCGGGAGATGGTTAGCTAACGAAAAAAGACATCATAAATCATATTTTGTTATGTATTAACCTTGTGTAGGTATTTACCCTGATATCACAATGTGGTTTGAATGTGAACAACCTAATTTTCAAAGAGGGTGACAGCCACAAAAAAACACATTAATCATGCTATAATTTATCTTTTTGTCAATTTACTTACCCTGAAATGAATTACGCACCTGGTCAAGAATTGTGCTTTCAACATATTTCAACAAATTTGGATACTTTCCACACATTTTCCTGAATTGAATAACAAAATCGGCATATAGTTCTTTTGTAAAAGAATTTATTATACGATTACATGCATCCATTATTTTTTCCACAACCACATCTGCCTTCACCAATTTTCCATCTTCGAACTCTATTTGTTTCGTCCATACCGCAGATTTAACCCGACTTCTCACATTATTTGTTATGTGATACCTACAAAGTAATGCATAAGAAGAGGAAAATACATTTGCAATCGAATTCATCAATGCGGTACTGCGGTCGGTAACAATAGTTTTAGGTATTTCACTTTGGATCTTCAACGGTGATTGACACACCTCTAATGTCCAAGTAAATTTGTCCTCTTTTTCACGATAAGGAAAAGCAAAACCAACAAAATATGTCTTCTCAGTTGAGGTAACACCGACCATCTCAAGTAATGGAAGTCTATACTTGTTGGTCTTGTAGGTTGAGTCAAGTATGAGCATTGTAGGAAATGTGTTGAAATTTTTTATAGAATTAGGATGAGTCCAAAAAATATCTCTAACAGTAACTCCATCATCACATGTCCGGTACCTGGACATGTAATTGTTATCATCCAACAGTTGCAAGAGTTGTTGCATCTCAGTTCTATCCCCCTAAGTGTCTTGTTAGTGAGGTACCAAATATTATACACTTGCTTGATATTTGATATATTATAGGATCGTTACTGTTTCAATGTTGCAAATATATTTTTCGGTTAAACAAGACTCAAGGTCATTTCAACAATACATTCCTTCTCTTCCGGCTTGAGCCGACAGACAATATAATGACCGGATATTTTTAAACACAAATCATGGTTTTGCAAACCAAATATCAGATTAAATCTCCAATTTTTGTTTGACAACATGTAACCACGAACTTTAAACAGACACTTACATTTTCTTGTATCGGTGTCGTCTCTTTTAAAATTCTGAAGAGGAATTCAAGCATTTCCACATGGCATGTCATTGTCACAAAGGCGCATATTCTATTTGAACCGTTATCGGACCTTCCGATAACCACATCAAATCCAAGTTTGGAGGCCTCCATGTGAATCCATTCAAGCATTTGATCACGAGATTCAAACTCTTGCTTGTTTTTAAAGCCGTTGCGAACATGTACCGCCTTCACAACAACACCTTGAACATTTTGAGAAACAACCACACCTTGGACATTCGGAGAAACAACTTGTTTTGGGAAAACATCGGGGTGCACTATATTTAATGAAAACAATTAAAACAATAACAGAACATAAGGTCAACTACTACTGCAGAATGACTTTAAAAATGAACACAGACAACTTCCGAAAATGCATCTCCGAACATGTTCATACGCGTTCTGGAGATACATTTTCGGACAAAGCGTAACTCTTTTTAGAAAAAAAATTGATGATTGATATGATTAATGCAGAGGAAAAAGAACAATCTTTATCTGAAATTCTATCTTTTTTTGCTCCTTGTGATATGTTGAACCAAAAGGATGAAGGTTTGGAGTGAAAAAATGGATTGAAAATGAAGGATTTTTAGGGTGAAGGGTTTGATTGAAAACCAAGTATGTCAACAATAGGGAAGGGATCATGCAACTGAATTATATATCAGATATTTTCGGAGATTCATCTCCGAAAATACCTGACATGCAAAGATGACAGAAATTTCAAAATGTCACCCATAATTTCGGAGATGCATCTCCAAAATATCTACTGAACTAAACAATGAAAATGTTTTTCTTAAAATATTATAGAGATGCATCTCTGAAATATCTACTGAACTAAACAATGAAAATGTTTTTCTTAAAATATTCTGGTGATGCATCTCCGAAATATCTACTGAACTAAACAATTAAAATGTTCTTTCTAAAATATTTTAAAGATGCATCTCTGAAATAAAAATAACCCAACATATAGCTTGTCTCTCAGAATGATCTTTGTTGAATGTGCAAGAGGTGCGTCCGGAGATACATCTTTAAAAACTAGAGTTTGTCCGCTCACCCTAAAAGCCATCTTAAATTTACTTACCTATTAGTGCAAAAAGTGAAACAAAACGAAAAGCAAAGTATAAAATATTTGAATCTGACAAAAAAATTATGTGCTAGCAGTTAGTATTGCTAGTAATAGCATGTTTGGATTGGCTTTTGAAAGATCCGGAATCAATTCTAGAGGTGTAAAATTGATTCTGGGTGATTTGAGGTGTTTGTTTTATCAAAAGTAAAATTGATTCTACTTGAAGTTAAAATTTGTAACTTCTACCTCTAGAATTGATTTGGGGTGATTTTTACACTGAAATTTATTGTTTAAGTCACTTTTACATAAATGTATTCAAACATAAATCAATTTTGCTGAACTCAATTCTATTAAAATTAATTCTACCAACTTCAATTCTGCTAGAAACAATTTTATTCACCGCCGATCCAAACCGTAAGTACTTTTTTAAATAAAAATCAGTTTAGTTTAGATGCAAAGAGACTTTTGCACCAAGTCTCAAATCAGACATATAAAAAGGTTAATTGTTTGCTTTTGTTGCCACAGAAAGGAATTTTTTGAAACCCGTCTTTGATCAAAGATATCACTTGATTGAGCACCTTCTATGTATGCATTGTGTGCCCTAGAAATATAGTGAACAAAGGTGACAAGGCTCCACAATAGTCATCAAAATTCTGAAACCAAAATTAATTCTCCAACAGTTAAATTCAAAACCATAGCAAAGGAACAAACACAAGTTTAAAGCAGTTATAACTTTTTGAAAAGTAGTTTTGCATTTACAGCACTTGCCATTTATCCTCAAGGAGAAGACAACTGGGA